ATTCCGCGGATGTGTACCATATATTGTACATATCTAATATCGTGCATGATATTATGGTACAGGGTGTTTATGAATCGCGCCGAGATGAGCTTTCAATGTATTTGCAAAAAAAAGTAAACAATTTTCTCTCAAGTATCTTGAGTGAAAAATATTTATACGTCGTTTTGAAAAAAATGGAGAATAACATCATTCCACAATCCGCTGAAACGTTATTATGCGCAAAGATTGCTATCTCCCGTACATTTCCCGGAGACTGACATCGCTTATATAACCGTGAAAGAGTTTATAGATAAATTAAATATATCCTATGATTTGGGATGCAGTACATACATCGATTCCCTAGAAAAAGTGAGAATTTACGCGATATAAAAATCAAACGCGTGCAACATGGAGTATGCACTTTTCTCTCGATTCTCTTCAACAGAGCAATGAAAATTCGAGAATCAATATTCACCGTGTGTCATCACAATGTACCCCAGCGTCGTTCCCGTTGCTCGGTCTATTTTATTTTTTCTCTGCATATGCGCTGCAATCGTGCGTCGGTTCTGGTACACAAAACCGGAGAACGACAGAGATAATTTCGTTGCATGTTGGCATAACAACTCGGAAAGTGGAAATATGCGAGAGAACGACCTTATAAAACAATTAAAGTAATGCACGCAATTTTACAATTTATATTGTTAAGTCAGTTTAAACTAAACATTTTTAACTTATTATTATATACAATTACAGAGTTAAACTTAAACTCTTATATATCTTAATTCAGAAGTCCCAACAAGTAATAACTAAAAGAACATTTCTTTCTAACTAAGATTTAATACACTAACAAGACTTACTTGTAAGAAGAGAGTTTATGTAAGAAAAGACGAGAGAATAAAAAGTTAGTTTTGTAAAATAAAAAAAATTCGGAGAATTCTTTAAATTTTTTCTAATAGTGCAAATATTTATAACATATATCTCTCGTATTCTAATAATATTGCATTTCTATAGATTTCAGATTATATAGAATATAGAATTAAAATAAAAATATATGTGTGATAAACGAGAGATCCAACCAGCGAGAATAGTTGCAGAATAGATATAACGAGAATTTCTCAGCAAGCAGAAAATAATATGACAATTGATCGCCGCATTATAATAGCGCTGTGCTAATCGCATGCATCACCTAGCTAGACGGTAACGCTACCATTCGCGCTTTTACAGAGTGTCATTCACGTAGTTAAACGAAACAATAGTAGCCGCCTCGTATTGGATGCAACAGTCGATCCATTTAATGGCTCTGCTCCCATTTTAACATGTAACGTCGTCGCTAAAGACGCGAATATCGAATGCAGCGGCTGCATTTTATCGACTGTTTTTTCAAAAGCGACTTTTCTCTCTTTGTATTAATTGCCAAATTTTTCACGCAAATTCTGTTTGCAGACTTTTTGATTATTTCTCAAATATCGATATTATTGCTCCTTTAAGTGTACACATATTTACATATTATTTAATTAAGTATTTTTATCATAACATTATATATAATCATCTTAGCAAAATATTTTACTTTAATTATATCGTTTGCCTCTTCACATAAGATAATGTTTTTTCTTTAATCAAGCTCATATTTTTTTATTATTTTTTATCTAATGTATTGTTATTTTTTTTATTCAATAATCTTTTATTATTTATCCGATAAATCTTCAAGAAAAACTTTAAAAGCTATAAAAGAAAACCGTAGAAAAAGCGTAGATTATTTTATACTATTTTATCGTTTTAAAATAAAATGTGTGTATTGTGTGTATCGACATTCAGTCAGACCAGCTGTTTTATCGTAAAAAGACATTAATAAAAATAATAATGTACATACATATTAATAAAAAATTGTTCTTGGTCGCATTAAATTTTGCAATATAAAAAATGCAAAATATATCAGTTTGTTGTTGTACAATCGATTACGATGGAAATCAATATATCCGGGAAATGTAACCTATTGTGTCACAACTTTATAATATACTTGTTTTATGCATAATATAAATGCAACTTTGACTTCAATCCGCTGCGTTCAAGTAGCTAAATATCGCATAAAAATGTAACTCATGTCGACTAATTTAAATATAGAGCGTCATACACAAAATATAAATATATTTATTGGAAAGTTAGAAATATTTAATCTTTGAAACAAAAATTTCATCACTTTTCTGACAAGGTTTTACGCGCGTTATCATTATGTGTGTTGCGCACCCATTAACTTTATTTTATCCGTCCATATACCTATTTCTCATTCTTTTTAAGCGTATTACGGCCTTTTAACGAATGTGAAAATTTCACGTACGTTGTGACACACATCGATGTGTTCTAGTGGACGACTTTTGTCGTCGCGACGTTGTTGACTCACGCAATATTCGAAATTTTCACCTCAATCGCGTGCACTCCGACAGCTTGTTCGACGTTGCTCGCGTGATTCCGCATCGTTGCACGACATCGGTTTTTCTTTTGTTGTTAAATAAAATGGTCAGAATTCGTATACCTCCGTCTAACACGTATTTGTCGAGCTAGTCTATCAACCAACTGCTATACCATATATTGTATATATGCTTCGCATCCCGCGTCGCATTGCCAGATTACCGTGGCCCTGCTAGGTCAAGGATGCGATTTGGCCCGGATTGATTTACGTGTACGAGTTTTATATACGTCGGCATTTATATAAATCTCTACTATTATATACGTATGTAACACGATGCCTATGGACTATTTCAAAATATTGTACAAGCAATATATATGTATACATATCTATATGTAACGAAAATTTTATCATGTAAATTTAGTTTGTGTGAAATGCCGATTATGATGTATGTAAATGACTATTATGTACAATATTATTTGTCTTGAAATATCATTATGCTAAATACATTCATGAATGCAGGCAAATCAACAGTTATGATATAATAGCAAATATTCCAGTTGAATAATTTTCGATGAAATATATTCAGCAACAAGCCTGTTATAGTTCTCATAAGTATAGTCTTTCAGAGAAAAATTATAGATTCATCGAGAAGAGAGAGATTTGATAGAAGAATTGCATGTTTTCGCGTGACATTAATACGCAAGTCCGCATTATAATTTTGAGTTTAATCAGATAATCATTTGCAATGTATCTTAAAATATTTCTATATCATGGTATACATGTTTAAAAAATCTTTAATTTCTCCTTATATTGAATGAAACTGATTGTTGATTATATCACATTAAACAAATCTGAATAATCGTATAAATCGTATAAATAGTGTGAAAAAATGATTATAACAATTCCCGAAGAGAATTCTCAGCAATTGTACATTATGCCATTCGACTAGATTGAAGGTAGAAAAAAGGTTGCCGGAAAGTCTTGTCTCGAAGAGAGGAACGGCTTCCCGAGGGAATTTTTTTTTACTTCATTTTGTCCCCGATGAAAGTTCATTTCCTTTAGCCTTGATATTCACGGCGAAGTAGGGAACACAAACGAGAAATGCTGAGTGTATAAGACGCGCCGCGTGATGTTATTACCCCTCGATAATGAGCAGTCTTCAGAGGTAGCAGCAACTTGGAGAAGTTGCTTGGAATTCAAGAGGGCCATTTCGCCAAATGACGAATCGCTTATCTAAACGCGTTTACAGCGACAGACCTCACTCCCGCGAGGTTGCAAGTACATTCTCGCAAAACTAATCAGACCGTGCACGTAAACGCTATCGCTATCTTGCGAGTTTTGATTAGAATGAGATGTGCAGCGAACATATGTTACAGGCGTAAAATATAGAAAAGACACAGTCCTGATCAAATAAATAAATATAATGGAATTTATTTGACTAATAATTTAGTCGGTGCAAGTTGTGACGTTAATATAACAGTACAATTATTGCATTTTATGTTATGACAACTTATGAGTTAAAATTCACTCGCAAAAACGTTTGCATATGCCACGAATAAATATGATGTCAAAAATAAATTTACAATGCAAGGATTAATTTTCATAAATTTTCCTAAATGTAGTTAACACACACCACAAGTGTAATTTATTTAATAATGTGTTTGATTAAAAAAATACATGTATAAAGTTCCGATTGAAAAATTAATTATGTGTTTAACTTAATGATTAATTAATTATGTGAGAAGAACAATACTTTGCGATATAATATTTATAGATTATAGTATATAATATTCAATAAGCTAATTAATAATATTAATTACTGTTGTCCTATTAATATAATTTTGCGCGATCAATGTCTGCTCTGAACTTCTTAGCACATAAATCTTTTGAGGATGTCCAGAATTGATGGAACGAATAGCGTTACATAGTGCAAGTACATGTCAGCAAGAAAAATTTAAAAGCAATACGTTGTAACTATGAAAAAGTAAGATGCAACAAATATTAAAAAATCGCTATCCTTAAAGCTAATTTAAATATAACATTTTTATATGAAAAATGTTAAAAATATATATAATTAATTTTAAATCATATTTTTTTAATTTTATTATATTTATTAATTACCTTTTATTTACCTTTTTGTAAATACGTGTAGAAATTTTACAACGCAATTTTTATTTATAATTTACAATTCCCTCGAGAGATTAACAATTTTGAGCGTGCTATTTAAAAATTAGCAATTCAATAGAAACTTTTAATTCGGGAGAAATCCAAAGTTGTAATAATATTGTATATCAAAGTTATAATAAACTATATCAGAGTTATAATAACTTACGCGCAAAATAATAATCGATGCATGTATGTTCACATCAATGTGTGTGATGGTTTTACGTGCGTAGAAACGGTAACGAAAACTACATATATGTATATATATACATACATATAATGCAACGAAAACTATGATGCAACTGCAGTCTATATATATGCTAAAATTTTCAAAAACCCAAGGGACGAGCGGGAAGCAGTGTTGCGACAAGTTATATAACACGCATTCATTCGCAGTCTCGCGTTTCATTCTATCCGAATGCTAATCTGAATAAAAGCTACCTGTGCTTACCATTGTGTGATGAAATCCGTACCGATGGTGAAAATAGGCGCGGAAGTCCGATTGACCTCGGTGCCGTTCAGGCTGCTTTCGGTGCCGTTCATCTCCATTCCACCAAACCGAGGTGGCAGCAACCCTCAAAGTCACTGCGCCCTCTCCTCCTCACAATACCCAGTCATCTCTCGGACATCCTAGAAATACGGGTTACGATAAAAGCATATTCAAATGCCGATAGAGATTGGAAATATCGCATTCCTTTTCGAATATACTCTCTGCAATGAATTTTATACAATACACGCTCGAAGAGGCAAGCTTTTATGGCAAAAATATCATTTAAACAGCATTATTTTTCTTCTTCGGACATTGCAGTTCGCACTTTAATAAAGAAATATGAACGTTTGTAATGTTGTAGAAATTCTTTTATTCATTTATAGGACATTAAACTGATAAATGTAAAAAATGGAATTGTCTACCATAGTATAATAAAAAGATTGAAATATATTGTTATCATCATATCGCAAGCTTAAGGTTTATTGATATTAAACATAACATAAGATTAATCAAAATTCCACTGTCGATAATACAATATCTACAAATAATTGCGATGTAATTGTCAAGGTCAAGCAAATAAAACGCACAAATCTCCCCTCGCGTGTTGCACGACGGGCCGGGCTTTTATATTTATGATTATGTCCTGGAAAATGTATGCTCATTACGGAGAGAGAAACATAAGTATATGTATATAATACTAATATATAAATGCCATGGACGGAGAAGCACTATTTATGGTTTAACAGCTTGCATAATTTTTTAAAGAAAATTGTATGTATATTAATTTATAATCGTGTCTATTATAATTTTATTTTAAATTAAATATTGTATATATATGAAATAAAAAACTTGTTTAATAAAATTAATTGTTTCATACAGTTTTAATACGTTTAAAGTACAATACGTACTGTTTTATTTACAATTGTAAATATAAAGTTAATCTTTAAATGCAATTAAAATTGCAGTACATATGGATATTGTTGCAGATACGATCGAGTAACTGCCGCTAAGGTCTCATTCTAAAACATATAGTACTTTCTGATACATATTAAGATCTCACATAAGAAATTTAATTTCCACCAGTCATGCCTCGTGCTCGGTTACTAGTACTCGACGTCAATAGTACTGCAATATTATCATGCGTCGCGCTTGATCCAAGCTGGATAACGTTAATGCTAAACGTTCTCTAAACAACAAGTATTAATATTACTATATTTGTGATTTTTTTCACAAATTTATCAATCTTTTCTTATGTAGAAATCTGGGAGATAAAAATGTTTGATTCCACATAAACGAGTTCGTAGTTAGTTAAAAATTCATCTGATAAAAAAATGACGCATCATTTTCAAAACAAATATGTTCTCTTGAAAAAAATATATAAAATAGTGTTTGAGATAGAAAAAGGGAAAATGATAATGGTTTATATATAGCATTATTTTGTACTAAAAAAAAATTGAAGATATTTAGCTGTGCTTTTACGCAGTAATTAATTATAGATAGACTAATAATGGTATTAATAATAACAAAAAAATGTTGCAATTTTTTATCTTTTGTATTCATGTTTATAAAGATCACATATTTACGCGTAATATGATGTACATTAATAGAAATATTAATATAAAAAGGCTAATATAAGAAAGCTGAATATACAAGATATACTCCACAATAATGTTCATTTAATTAAATGCGAATACAAAATACAGTATAATAATGATATATGCAATATGCTCTTCTATATGTTCTTCAAATATCTGTTATTTATGAGAGAAACTGTTGCGCACGATTATCAGGTTAATTTTAATCCGGAGATCAAACGCTTGGAATGGATGCATAATATTCAATATGCTTGCACCGTAATACGTCGGCAAAATTAACCGTGCGTGGTTTTCGTCAAAGAGCTCTGGCGTTACAATTACATTTCATACGTGGTAATTTTCTTCTTTGCTAGTCTATTACCTAATAAGGGCGAATAATAAACCGCACAACTGCTACGAGTTTATTATATAACTATCTCCCGATTCTTCAACAAAATATAGCATTCTTCTGTAATGCGATCGATAACATATTTTCCATATTACTAACGCAATTCAAAGAAGTACACATTATAGCGCAACTTAATACATATTTATGAGTTCAGTAGTGAGTGACACGCAATATTTATCAGATTGACAATGCTTCTTTCAGCACATTATTTTCTTTTTTCCGTAGATCGGAAATTTACGATAAAACGACTACACAATGATATCGTTATCTATCAACAATTCAATGACGATAAATTAAAACGCGCACGCTGCTTTGGAAATATTTAATATTACTTAATAAAAAGCGTTAAAGTTTTTGCATAATTTTAAAAGAAAAATATTATAAACAGAGTCAATTGAGAAACGAAATCTTTAAATGATAAACATTTTGTTATATAATTTATATTTTATTATACATATTAATAATAATATCCAACAATTAAATATATTATTACCATTAGCAATTTACAATGTTGTTAATAGTGTTAAAAGTAAAAATAACATAATTTATAAACAAAATTGATTAACAGAATTGAATGCAATTGTATAAAAGGAAAGGATTTATCTCGGCCTCTTAACGAGACCCCAATTAGCATCGGCTATTATTATCCAAGAATATCAGATTTCTTTTATGCTTTGAAAATGAATGCTCCATAACTTTTCAATTAACACTATACAGTCGTAATTGCAAAACACACACACACACACATACATTTTTCATTATTTAAATCTAAATTATAAAGTATAAGTATATTATTTTGAAGTATAACGAAAATGTAAAATCTCATATTGAAGTTATCCATATATTACAATCTATCAAAAAACCTATTTACAAGTGAAATATATCACAAATTTAGATGTAACCTTAACATAATCAGTATCTCTAGATTTTAGATAGTTAAAATAATTAAAGGATTGCGTGCGCGAAGCACATTTTTTAGAAGACGACACTGTCAGCCATTTGTACCTGACATGGAAATCGCACAGATCATACTTCCTCGTTCACTAATTTTAGATCAAGATCTAGAGAAAGTGTTTAATCTCGCCCTTGACTAAATTAATTAGTTTAGTAATTGTATGTAGAAATATATGTAATCTTTGTATGTGTGTGTGTGTGTGTGTGTGTGTGTTGTGTGTGCTATTTATATTGATAAATAACTGCCTCTAATACTTTATTAATGAGTGCATTAATATTATTAATTTACAAATTGATATAACAATGTATTGTATTATTTTAGACATTGATAACTTATCGTATTAAATGAAAACTGTTTATTCGTTGAACAAACTGTAATATAGATATCGCATAAAATTGTATATAAAATTGGAAAATAAGTAAAATGTACAACAAATGGATTCTCATAAATTTGATTCCAGTGTTAATGTTCATGTGTAAATACTCACATAACAGCAACTTGAATTTCCAATGTATTATTTAAAAAATATATTGTTCAAAAAATAATTATGAGCGTGACATGACATTTAACGCTCCTCTTGCTTGAAACTGAAAGTCGGCTGTGACATATTTTATCATTCTCATCTCCGGATTTCTGTCTTGCTTAACGCTCGTGCTCGGAACGGGGATAAATTTGGACGAGACCGAGTATAACGCGGTACTTTAAGCTTTATCAGTCTGCAAATTTATGCAATCCCCGGCAGCTTCCCTTTCTTTCATCTTACAACGCGAGCGCTTTGTTTCCGCCTACTCCTAGCTTTCTGCGATTTACGCGGGGAGAAATATCGCGAAACTTTTACGTCAATCCTATTCCCCCGCTTATCGCCTTCGAGTCGCTCATTTATTTTCGCTCGGATGGGAATCAGAGATACCTACATATTTTTTTTCAAGATAGATTTCGTCGGTGGTTTCTCTCCGCCAGATTCTCGCAGCGCCGGGCAAAACGGATTGCGCACGCAACAGGAAGCGTATAGGAAAGGTGTGGCGCACGAAACAGAAAATAATGAAAACAAGAGGAGCAGATATTTTCGCGGCATATATTTTCCCGTCGAATGTTTCATAGCACAAAACCTCCGAGAAAATTATCAAGTATCTCAATTGAGTTGGAAGAAGCGCGCGTGACGGAACATCGCGCAATTGACATTTGCGCAAATGGTCTCGTATTCTTCAATATCGTTCGAGAAACTTCAATCTGTAAACACGCTGAATATTAAAAAGCGGAAATTTTTAGATATAAACAACTTTTGTGACATTTCCATTATATTCATCTTAAGAAAGCAGTCGATAACGTAAGAAATCAAAACTCATCATTTACTTTCACAGCAAAAAGCTACTACGCACGTACATTTTATAAATGCGTTTTTAGAATATTTATATAATATCATAAAATATACGATCTTCTTTATGCTTTAGCTGACATTTTTTTATGATTTTAAAATTCTAATTTTTAAATATATATTTCATCATGTAAAGATTACCGCAGATTATTATATTGGAATAATTCAAGGTTTTAATGGCTCTGATCCTAAGCTACCTAAGCTAAAGCTTTTCATTGAAACTGATTATCACATCTCTTTAAACTACACAAATTATATACTTTTCAATACGAAATACTAAATGGAATATTGATTAATCGAATATTTTAAATATTTTATGCCTTAAAAGGATATCTACATTTTCTGCACATAATTGAGAAATAGGTAAAATTTTTTATTCAAAATATTAATCAATAAATTACTAGCACATATTTAAGTATATACATATTTATCCTTCTTTTTTCTTTCTTGTTTTTTTTGTGGACGCTTCACGTTTGAATTATCGATTTGCACACCCTTCGTCTGATAATTTACGCAGAAACTTAGTATCATTAATCATTTTTATTGATACAGTGCAATTAACACTCATTTATTTATTTCGTGTATCCGGACTTACAAGCTGGAAAAATAAAAATATAGCGTGATTCATCATTCAATGTATCTCCGCTAATAATTCATCAAGCGTCGAAAAATATAAAGTTACCGCTCACGTGAAATAGCTTACTAATCAATTTTAGTCAGCGAGACCCAGTTGCGCGTGATTGGTTAATGATTCATGCTAGAAGTACATGCTAAAATATATAATCTTTTAATATACATTTATTAACAAGTATTCTATAAATGTCTAA